AAAATAGTGCTGAGCAAAGAGTAATCACTCAATAAATACTAGCTACACATAAAGAAAATAAAGTTTCACCGTCACTTTCTCCCTTTGTAGCTAATAGGCTGTGATAACCTAATTTGCACTAATCTGTCAAAAAATATCCAAATAGTTTCATGTGAAATTTTTCCCAAAGAAAGAGAACCTTTTATACTAAAGAAGAGTACTTAGCCCCTTCTTTAGAGATGCCAGCTTCTCTCCAGGAGTCTACTGATTATACACACTTCAGGTGCCATAATTGATCTTCAGAGCTCTAGAGAAATTCCCTAGATCATTGCTCAGAAAACTTCTGAGAAATCCCACAGCAAACACTGGCTTTCAGTGTGCTTCATTACGGGTACTAATACTTTGAGACTGTGATGGAGTGTGAGAAAATGGACTAATTTACTAGTCCCATTTCACACCCTCTTGAGTTCTGTTACCTCTGGTGCCTGTTAACCTGCACATGCACTGCCCATGCAGCACCACACATGGTGACATCCACACCTCCCACTTTAAAAGTGAGTGAACACAATTTATTACATAACCATATCGACCCTACTCTTTATCACGTCAAACTCTGTTTCACCTAAGACTTTAATACAATAAAGATTTGTGGGTTTTGCCTTTATCTCTTTTGAGGCAGCCCTATTATTCTATGATATACCATAGATGATGAATTTGAAATTGTAGGCTGTGCCATGATTTAGGATACTTAAGAACAATCCATTCATTCATACTATGGATGAATAGGGCATGCTACAACTGTTTTACTGACCGAGAATTTTAAATCTTTTTTTAAAAAGTGAGGTGAAATTCATCTAACAAACTCATAATATATGCAATTCATTGGTTTTTAGTATATTCCTAACGTGGTACAACCATCACCTCTCTCTGGCTTCAAAACATTTTCATCAGCCTCCAAAGCTACCTCATGCCTAAGAAATAATCACTCTCTCCTCTTTCCCCCTCTGCCATTCTTTGGGGACCATTAATTGCTTTCTGTCTCTATGAATCCACCCACTCTGGCTGTAACATGTAAAAGGGACATACGATATGTGACTTTTTGTGTCTGGCTTCTTTTATCTAGTAAATTTTTGAAGTTCATCTCTGTTGTAGCATATGCCAGTATTTTGTCCCTATTTATTGTTGACTACCAATCCACCAAACTTATAAATCACAATGTATCTATTCATCCACCAATGAATATTTAAATTATTTCCTCCTTTTGGCTCCTATGAAAAACGCTGCAGTACGCATTCAGGTACAGGTTTCTGTGTGGACGGATGTGTGCTTTCATTTCTCTTGCTGGGTTGTGGAATAACTCTGTTTAACATTTTCAGGGACATTCAAATTCTGACACAGTAGCTGACTCACTTTATACTGTCATCAACAATGTACAAAGATACCTACTTCACAGCCTCACTAACACTTCTTTTGCCTTGTTTTGTTTGTTTTTGTTTTAAATTAAAGACATCAGAGTAGGTGTGAAATGGTATCTCATTATGGTTTTGATTTGCACTTTCTTCACCAACATTGATGCAAATATCTTTTTATGTGCTTGTTAACCATTTACCTATCTGTCTGGGAGAAATGTTGATTCAAATTCCTTGCCCACTTAAAATATATGGTTTCCTCTTTGATGTATACATAAGTAATCAGATATTTACATACATAATAATCACAATTAAATATGCGATTGGCAAATTTTCTCCTTTCTGAAGGTTCCTGTTTTTCTCATTTCTATATTTCCAATTCTGTAATTTCATATTATTGATCATGTATATAAAATTATTTAATTTTCATTGAAATTAATTTATATACTTTCCTTTGCTTATTTATGCTTTTGATGTCAATTCTTTACCAGGGATCAAACTCGCGACCTCATGGTTGCCAAGCAGGCACTTATGCCACTGAGCTAAACCCCCGGCAATTCTTAAATTCTTAAGGAACTGTAAGGGACTCCAAACATCCAAAAACATAATGCAAAAGGCATGCCTATCTATACTCCATAAAAATTAACCCACAATGGATTACTGACTTAATTATAAGAGCTAAAATGATAAATAGTAAAACAAGTAGAAGAAAACACAAGGGCATTCATTGTGAATAGTGTAAATCCCTAGATAATTCTCTGCCCAAGGTGAAAGCAAGAGTCTTCTCTTTCATAATTTTGCCTGATGGGTAGGAGGATAACAGGGATGCTGACAGGTTTGGCTTCCTTTTTTTTTCTTCCTCATGATAGTTTATTAGAAATCTCTTGAACGGGACTGGGAATCTAGCTCAGTGATACAGTGCCTGCCTGCAAGCATGAGGTCCTGAGTTTGCTTGCTAGTACTCAGCCCCCCCACCCCAATCTGCTTGAAGAATATCAGAAGGCAAAGGATTATCCTTGGCATATGCCTGGCTAATCCTAGCAAAAAGTGAAATTGGTCATAAATTATACAAAGAAGAGTCAAATACACAGTTTAAACCAAATGCATTCTGTAGTTTTATGAATTGTCTTGTTAGATTCTTCAAGTCTTCTCTTGCATCCTTTGTTTTCTCAGGGTAAGATGATAGAAGCCCAGACCCTGGAGCCAGGGGGCGTGGAGTCCAGGCTCATCTCTACCACTTGCTCCATTGTATGACATTTTGTCATTTACATAAACTCTATGCCTCAGTTCCCTCATTTTTAAAAACCTTACTTCATAAAGTTCCTTCCTAGCACATAGTAGCAATTTTAAGAAATGTGTGCTGTTATTTCTAGAACTGACAGAGAATGGATGAAATGGAAGAACTACATTTATCCTTCCTTCTGATCCATGGTTACGCAGAGTTGCTGGGAAATGCAGCTCCTATGGTGGCCACGAGCCAGTGCCTTGCAACTTTCCAACTACAGCAAGTACCACTGAGGACCTCAGCTGCTGGGCTCTGGAATCCAAGCCCTCACACAGGGAGCTCACTTCCACCAGCTGCTCCCAGCTGGAGACTCAGTGCTGGTGCAATGCTAAGGGAGGCTGTTACTGGGAGGCAGGGGTGCTTCTTACTGTCTACTTCAGCTCAAGAACTCCTCGGTGGCCTTGTCAAAGTTCTTTGTTCTGAACAACTCCTGACATCTAGCCCACTTTCTTTTCACTCCAGGTTGGACTTGCATCATGGTTTTTGGTGGCTCTGTTACACTTCTCACCTCCCTCCCGGTTTTCTCTCACCTGTCTATTTCCCTCTTGGGATCTGATTCTTAGAAGCTTTGAGCTAATACAGCGCAGCATTCAAAGCTTTCTAGGATGTGACCTGTATTATTTCTCATCTCATCTCCCAGCTTTTACAGATATTGTTCACTACATTCTTCATTCCCAAATGTGCATAGTACTTGCTTTTGTCCATCCCCTTCACTGAGAAAGTGCTCACTAGTTGGCCGTTTTTGTCTACTGGGTCCCACTTGTTAGTGAATATGTCTCATGTGTTACCATCTCTAAGCCTTTCAAGATCCTGTCAGCCTCTTTTCTCTCTCTAAACCTTTAGGGATTTTGAATTATTTTATAGCTTTATCAACAGCATAATTATGGCTCATAATTAGATGACTCCCCTCCCCCAAGCCTCATGCACTCCTAAGTGGAGACTTGGGGAGGTGATTAGATTACAGAAGCATGATACCTGTGAGTGGATCAGTGCACTGATGAGTTTACAGCTAAATGTGAATGGTGAAGCCTGGTTGGAGGAGGCGGTCATGGGGGAGGGTGGCCTGGTAGACTCTACCTCCCTCCCTTCCTCCTCCTTGATCTCTGACTGTTTCCTGCTGGCATGCCATCTGTGTTTCTCTTCTGCCATTCTTGTCTGCCATGCTGCCCTGCCTTGGAGCCAGCTGACCATGGACTGAAACCTCTACAAACTGTGAGCCCAATACATTTCCTCTTTAGAGTTGTGGGTGTTGGGTATTGTGTCTCAGCAGTCGGAAAGTAAGACAGCAATTAAGTTCATCTCCTCCTTTGAGTCCTCCAAAATGACCAGCTTGAATAGAATAAGCACTCAATATTTGCAGAAGGTAACTGAAAAATCAGAAAGAATTTTACTCTTGTGACTTTTTTTAATATTCAGAATTTCTAACAGCTCACATCCATTTTGCTTGCTATAGTAACAATGTACTTGGATGCATAAAAGAAAGTCTACAAATCAAAGCACTTAGTGTAGAATATAGGATATAGCAATATAATTTTAATATCTGTTTGCAATGCTTCATCAAATTGGGCTGATTTTTTCCCAAAGAAGTGATGATTTAGAATTCTAAAATAGTCTTGGGGTTGCCTCTGTCTATGAATGAAAACTAGTGAACTAAGAAAAACAGTTGTAAAAGAATATTTCTTTCTCTGACAAGGGTCCCTGACTTAAGGCCTGGTAAGCCTAATACCCCTCCCTTTGGGCTCAACTCCAGTAATAGAGAAGGAGAACCGTGTCATGTTGAAGAATGTTTAAAGGGTGAGTTATGTGTATATAATATGAATAAGCATTGACGAGCTCAGTGCCAAGAAAGTCTTACTTCTTCACATACGGCTGACCTTTGTGGACATTTATTTGGGTGGACATTTATCAGTTTCACATTGCGTGACACAACAGACTAACCCTCCTAGTACTCACAGGTTAGGGAACACATCCCCAGGCTGTGCTAGGCCTTTGATCAAATCCTTGAGAAGTCATGTGGTACAATCTTGTGGTAACATCAACAAGAGATGTGATAATCATACAAAATCCATTTCTTCCCCTCAACCTCACCCTACTACTTTCTGGGCAATTACTGCAGGTAACCCGGCTCAAGGAAGCTGTCAAGGTGACACTGAAGGCTGGGTTTGGCATGAAGCCAGCGTACTGTGCAGTGGCCTCTGGTTAAGAAAGGCCTTGTGACTCTTTAACTTGGGACTCTGATCCTTTCCGGTTGACAATGCAATGCTCAAGTGAGACCTCCTCAGGTGGAAAACAAAGAGCTGATCAGGGATCAGATAGTGCCTCCTCGGAGGTAGTTTCCTTATTAATGATTTAACAGGTGCAATCACATGAGGCAGCCACCGTCCTCTTCTCACTGACAGGCTGAACACAGAGCAAGATGGAGGAGGCCTGCAAAGAGGAGGAAGTGGACAGCTCGTTCACCAGCATTTCGCTAGCGGATGACCCAGGTAAGGAAGCAGCAGCCGGTTTCACAAACATGCAATCCAGCAACTGCTGGGCAGTTCATGAAGAATATAACCTTTATTTTTTTATGACAATAGCAAAACATAGTCAGTGGAGGAGACTTCAAAATATACAGCCACAGAGACAGTTTTTAATTAAGAGAGTCGTTTCCTTCTTTTAAATTGATTAAATTTTAGAGGTTCCTGTGATTATGTTATGTGGACTTTTAAACATAAATCAATAAATAAAAATACAAAATGTTTGCTTCCTAAAAATTCAGGAAACACAACCTCAAAATTTTTACTAAGCCTATGACATGATCACCATATTTTTGTTCAGTTAGAGAGAAAAAATCTCTACCTTCTAGAATAATTTGATTGTTTCTGAAAGTGATCTAGAATGTGCTACAATGAATCTTAGGATTATTTCAGAAAATGTCTGGTTTTTCAGCAAGGCAAAGTTTGCAGAGTTTGACCTCGGAGAAGGAAAAGAAACAGAGGGGGCGTGCTCTAAAATGCTGACTGAAGGGACAGCTGGAGCTCGTTCAGTGCTTCAGAGAAAGTAGTGCTAAGTTGTTAACTGGAAACACTTTAAACTATAAGCGCTCACATCCTTGGGCGTGTGTGTGTGTGTGTGTGTGTGTGTGTGTGTGTGGTGGTGGTGGTGGTGGTGGCTGTGGTGGTTCTGTATCCAAATTCCTTTGGCACAACCATACTAAGAAGCCAGCAAGACAGCAGCTCAGCCACGGGGGTTACTGATTTTGATTAACAGAGAGCAGAGCATGAATATTTAACACCAGTTGTTCGGTCACGCAGCCTTGCTCTTCCACTTTCTCCCTAAATGCTTGGATTCAGAAAGCATCTTTCTAAAGTGCAGCCAGACAATTAACAGGAGCCGCCCGCCCGCCGAGGCTGAGCTTCCCTCCCGGCACCGCACAAACCTGCCCGGGCCTTGGGGTACCGAAGAGGAGCTTTAAGAGGAAGGGAGGGAAGGTGCAAGGCACCGGGCTGTTGAAGAAACGGGATACGCTGTCCTGACCGCGCTCTCGCCAGGGTGTTTTAGAAAATGACGCCACTGCGGGAGGAAACAAAGACAGGGAGGCCTAAGTTCCCCAGCTTGTTCTGTGTGCGGGGCGGAGGTGGGGGGATCCCCAGGGCTGTGCGCTCACGCAGAGCCTGCTCCTCCGGAGCCCAGGCTCAGCCCAGGCTTCTCCTGCACTGTAACAGGGGCTGAGCCTGAAGGCGGCGCTGAGCTTTCTGTGATTGCTTTCTCTTTCCACCGCACTGCAACCCCCAACTCTGGCCCTAGGCTTATCTTCTGCCGCTCCCCTAAGGGAGAAATAAAGAAAGGCGCGAATTTACATTCCAGTGCTCTGCCCACTGGGCTGCTGCTGTTTTATCCTGTGCAGGAACTACCCAGGCGGGGCTTGGCACTAAAGTGTTAGATCCCCAAGTTGTTATTATTATTATTATTATTATTTAGATTTTGAAACAGGATCTTGCTAAGTTAAGCTACATTAAGCAAGCTGGGCTCAAACTTTGGATCCTCCTGTCTCAGCGTCCCAGAGTGACGGAACTGTAGGCATAGCACAAAAGATGCCATCCCTCACCCCAGCCAGTATACTTCAGTTGCTTAGTTGCCCAGATAATAGTTCCTGTTCCAGTTCTGATTGCTTCTGTCTCTTAGAAACAGCTGGTCTCGTGATGCACAGTGTGTAAACCAGTCCCCAGTTGGGAAGCCATTCTGCCTCTGTACCTCCTGCTAGCTTATTCTCTTTTTGGGGGGTCTTTTTCGTTTTTATGGTGCCAGGGATCGAACTCACAACTGCCTGCTTGCAAGGCAGGCGCTTATGCCGCTGAGCTAAATCCCCAGCCCCAGCTAGCTTATTCTTATACCGTATCAGCCCTAGACCACGAGAAATCAGAGCCTCATATTCTGGGAATGATCTCATCAGTGCCGATCAGCGTAAATAAATCTGCCTCCAAATCCTGGGGGTGGTTTTGGTGTTTCTGCTTGCCGTTGCAGGCATGTACCACCACCATGGCCAGTTTTGCTGTGATTTTGAGAGAGGATCTAACAGAGTTTCTCACTGAGTCTGAACAAACGGAGTAAACACCGAATAACCTGAGAAATGGTAATCACCAGTCCCTGGCTGGTAGTGAGCTGACACGGTGATTCTCCCTGCTCCTGGTGAAAGCCTCTTTTCCCTTAGACCGAATCGCAACCCCCTAAGGCACAGAAGTCCCCAGACCCTGTACAGCATGCAGGCAGGGTAGGCATGGGATCTGGTGTGAATTTGTGCTGTTTCATTATTTTAAAATGCCAAATGGAAATTGTTCACGTATTTGTGACAAAAACGTGCCAGTTCATTAAAAAGCCATGTTTCTTTACTCTGGAGATTTTTAAAAAAAAATACTTGATGCAGTACTACTGGATAGATCTAGAGGTTCTTGGGATTTGATATAAATCCCAAATAAAAATAGGAAAATAAATTATGACGAAATAAATGGAGCCTGTCCAGTAGACATCATTCAAATTGTGAAGTCTAAGTAAATATAAAACATAGAAAAGGTATTTCTTACATTTTTTAAAAAAAGTTTAGTCCATTTTCTTACTTTATACTATATACTATATGTGTATGCATACATGTTTCACATAGATGTGAATAAACCTATATGAAAAGGAGGCCCAGAGAGGTGAAATGCCTCCCCCAAAATCACAGAGCTAATTAGAGGCAGAACCAGGAATGAAGGAAGGAATTAATGAAGTCCTAGGTTCAATAAATTCATTGGATCCCTGATGCAATGCTACGTTCCAGTTATACTTTATTTACTCTTCACAATATCACAGGTTATTATTGTCCTGTTTTACAAATATTATTGTCTTATTCCACAAATGACAAAACTGTAGCTCTGGCTAAGCATTGGTGGCTCCTACCTGTAAGGTCAGCTACTCTGCAGGGTGCGGTAGGAGGATTTCAAGTTCCAGGCTGACCTGGGCAATTTAGTGAGACCTGTCTCAGAGTAAAGTAGAAAGACCTGGGGATGTAGCTCAGCTCTTCCTGGGATCCGTTCCTCCTATTGTTTGGGAGTGTGAGACTCACAAAACTCGAGTAACCTGGCCCAGACTTTAGCTAGAAAGGGGAGTTATGGACTCTTCAGCGGAGTGTCTGCCTTGTCTTCTGTTTTCTCTATGGACACTGATCAGTCATGACTGTGTTGGTTCATTCTTGGCTCTTCAGGAGCTTGTTGGAACAGACTACCAGTGAAACCCGTGTCTCCTTTATTAAACACTAAAAATAGTAAGATTTATAGGCCTCATGTGTCTGCCGCGGTGATTACCCAGAGAGAACATTGCTCCTGGACGCTAGCTGTTTGAAGCTGCTAAATGTAGAGGCTGGCATAGAGGCGACTGCCTCTGCTTGCTGAATGGACAGCGAGGCTCCGAGCACCCGGATGTTGACTCGCCTCCTCCTTTGCACCCTTCGCAGGCTGTTTTATACTGTTCCTTTTTAAACCACGAAAACAGCAAGATAGAGAAGAAAAGGATGATTTTGCTAACTCAGGGAAAAGGTCAGTGGTCTGGTGGTGGGGAATCACAGGCGTACTTAGGCTTTGACTCATCTTTGGGCTCCTTTAATTAAGCAGTTGCCCTTCTAGTTGGTGTCAGTTCATGAAGACTGGCAGTGCCAGCAGTGATTCAAGCCACAAACCAGTTCTGCTCCATACATTCATTTATAGATGAGTTGGGCAGACTTACAAGCCAGTGCTTCCATAGAAACAAGGTTATAAATGACAGGATTCCAGACCAGACGATAATTTCTAATCTCATTTTCTAACCAATCTGTGTGCCAAGGTGCTCCGGGGCACTGCAGTGAACTCACATGGGGGATCTCAACCTCTATCAGGCACTGCGGAGAATTACTAGCTAGAGATCATTCACACTTTCACTTTAGACTGAGTTACGTTTCTTTCAGTGGCATCTCTTTTGATATTGAGTTCACTGCAGTAGTTAGGATAAAAAGCAAATTGTGTGCAAAAATCAATGTCATGAGGGAATTTTGGGAAGGCTAAAGTTATGCAGTGCCAACAGGTGCACACTTCCAATAAGGACAGGTGCTTCTTGACTTACAATGAAGTCACATCCTAATAAATTCATCACAGGTTAAAAATATCATAAATCAAAATGCACTCAATATGCCTGCTACTGAGCATCCTAGCTTAGCAACAGAACACTAACAGTACTGGCTGTTTCCCTTGCTGATCATTCAGCTGACAGGAAGGGACACCTCTCTGCCACTGCCTGGCATTGTGAGAGTGGATGGTACCACACATTGACAGCCCAGGAAAGATCAAACCTGAAAGTTCAAGGTTGAGTTTCCACTGAGTGCATAGCATAGTAAATGTGAAGTCAAAACTGCAATTTAAGAATGAGATAAAAATGTTTACTTTCAATTTAGATGTGGCATTTTTTCACATGGCTACAAAGTTAGTAGGACATATAAATAGTAGTAGGATGTTTGGATCCAAATACTTAACACAGAACTGCTCCTTGTTCTTGGAGCTTTGAGAGAGAATTATTACCATAGATATTAAGTGTTTTGGCTTGTGTCTAGATGTCCCCTAAAGCCTCATGCAGTCACAGATGGGGCTTTTTGGAGATTACTGGAGGTAGGGTGTGTGCATCTGGGATCAAGGATGTGATGCTGGGATTGATTCAAATTGCAATGCTAGGATTAAGGCTGCCCCTTCCTGGGTGTGAGCACTACCTGCTCTCAGAGTGGGTAGCTTGGATAAGACATAAGGGATGGTGGGTCACTGCTAGTCAATTGTCATTTGTTTAGTGCTTGCTGCTTGCTTCCGTCTGTCCTGCTTTGCCTTGGGCTATTCTCCTCTGCAATGCTGCCCTCTGTCATGCTGCCCTGCCTTGGAAGGAACTGTGAGCTGAAACCTCTGTGAACTGGGAGACAAATACACCTTTGCTCCCTTAAGTTTGGGTATCAGGT